CGCCCCCCCCCCCGTTCTGGGGGCATTGGGGCTGGGCAGCGGGGGGGGACAGGGGTGCTGCCACTGTGAGTCCCTCGTTTGCTATCTATTATATAAAAATGTATTATTAATGATAATGTCTAAGTGTTGTGCAGTTCTTCACTGGTATATCTCAAAGTAGACCTCAAAATTTTATGAGGTCCCAGAGGTGTGCTGATTGGACCAGAATTACTTACTTAAACCAACAGAGCTAAGACTAAAATCCTTTGAGCCAGTGTGCATACTGTTTGAATAAGGGTAAATAATGAGGCAAAATCAGTCATCTTATATGGGAGGAAACTGGCTAATTTGGGCAAAATACTGAACTTGGAAATAGTATACTATTTGGATCTCATAATGAATAAGATCTTCTTACAATGTTTTGGACTAAAATATTACTCCATTTAGATTCCTAAACTGTCACTAGTATATTTTTTTTCTGTGGACTTCGTTCAGCTTCGGAGTACTATAATATTTCTTTCTTGCCTTTCCATCTGCAGAAGAAAAACTTGATAAATTTTGGTTAAAATATTTTGGCAAATGTCATTTTCTTGTGATGGTATTTGGAACAACATAATTGTGATTGTCCACAGCAGAACCCTTACAGTTTACCTGTAAGAGGGGATAGGCAAACCGTTTTTTCTTTTATTCTTCCTTAGCCCAGTTTGTTTATTTTTAATTGGTTTTAATTGGTTCTTACATCTAAGTACAGTTTTCCCATTATTACAGTTGTAACCACATAGTGGAAATTTTGTGTTCTCTGCTTGCTACTTCTTTTCTCTGCAGGAAAAAGACTGTACAGACACTGAGACTTTGGTTTCCCACCTATCAAAGCATTCAGATAAAGTAATATCTTTGCATGGAATAGGATAGGTTGTCCTCTCACATCTCAGCTTAAATGCAGGAGAAGTGCCAGAAGTGAACACTGCTTCTAGATTGGTCATAGTTCCCTGACTGGCAGACGAGAGGAAATACAATTTTTTCCCTCTACAAAGGTTATTTCTGAGAAGTCTAGGAAAATTGGTTCCTGGATCTGAACCTTGTAGTCATGGTAAAGCAATAAAGGTATGGGATGTATTTTTATTTGTTTTGGGATACATTTATAATTCTGGGGCGGGGGGTCTACATTGGGATAGTTACCATATTTGCTTGCATACAACACCCGCAAGTAAGGCTTTTTGGAAGGTAGAATATAGAAATACTTTTTTTCAGAATTACAGGAGACTGTAGTGTAAGTTCATGTGGAAAATGCAGTATCCAGGAAGTTCCTGCTGCCAGCTGCATCTCCCAAACTATCTCCTGGGATGACATGCTTCCTGGATGCTTTATTTCCAGGACGCCTTACTCTGTCACACAAGCATAGGCCCTAGACCGGGGTAGGCAACATCTTGGGTCAGAGCCAAAAAAACACAATGCCTACCTTGTAAGGTGCTAGAGTACCGGCACACCACAAAAACAAAACCAGAACTGGGGGTTACATGGCAAGATGTACAGCATATTTAATACAGTTAATAATCATAAATGTTGCTGTGTCATAATCATAAATGTTACAGAAAATACCAGGTTTTCTAAAAACTCTGAATCTGGCGACAATAAATAAGACTTCATATTCTTCCTTTGTACTTGTGCATTCTTTTGTTAAGCATGTTGTGATGAGTGGGGAAAGAGGGGAGGCACCATGGGCAGGGTGACCCGGCCAGGCCCTTAGGAAGGTGGCAGTTGGAGGAGAGCAGGGGCTGCCACGGGGCTTCGCAGACTTGGCCATAGAAAGAGTTCCCAGCGGCACCCAAGGTGGGGCCCAGCCCAGCCGTCAGAGCGCTGCGGGGATGGGGTGCAGCTGCTCTGCCTGAGGGGGCACTGCCTGGCTGAAGCGAAATGCCAGGTTCAGGGGGCTCCCAGCTCGGCCTCTGTGTGTACCAGGCATAATGCAAGTGGGGTGGAACCCCCTGGACTACAGCAGGAGCGCCTTGATCTCTGGGAACAGTCGCCACAGGTGGCACTTGAGGCCGAGCCATCTGGGAGCCTGCAGCACAGCGGCTTTGTGCAGTGCCTGCCCTGGCCCCTTGAGGGGAGCTGTGGGTGGGCAAGGCCAGGGGCCAGGCAGGCTGGGGAAACCATAGCAGCTGTTCCCAGGATCCAGGGGCTCCTGTGGCCAGGCCCTTGCACTGGGGGCGGCTCTGCATGCACTATAACCAGTGCACAGGGAGGCTGAGCCTGGAGGCAGAAGTCCTTTTAGTCCAGCGTCCTGCCCCGGCCAGGCAACGTCCCCTCGAGGGCAGAGCGGCTGCAGCCCATCCCTGCGGAGCTCCATGGGCAGGTCCAGGCTTCGTCTCGGGTGCTGCTGGGTGCCCCTGCCTGCCCACCTGTCACAGCTTGTGTCCGCAGAGCCCTGGAGTAGGTCCCACTTCCCACCCAGCCCGCGCCTTCCTAGGAGCCTGGCTGGGCTGGCTTGCCTGCCACGCCTGCCCCCATAGCACCCAGACCCTGCCCTGACTGCCCAGCCGCAATGCTTGGCACCCCGGTTCTGCCTCAGACTGGTGGGACAGGCCCAGGGCTCACCCACCTGCGGGGAATCTCCAGTGCAGTGGCCCAGCAAAGCACGTGCCTGGGCCCCAGCCCTGCCCCCCCCACCCCAAGCTCCCTCCAGAGGCCAGGCTAGACTGGAAGATGTAGCCTGGGGGCAAGGTCAGCAAGACATAGCCTCCCTGTCTGTGTTCTCCTGTCTCTGCCCCTGGTGCCTGCACAGGAGAGCCCAGAGCAGCAACTTAAATTTATTTTTAACCATTTCCTTTCATGCCTCCAGGCATTCTGGGGATAATGTCTCCATGTACCACAATTGGTACATGTGTCAGGGGTTGCCAATCCCTGCCTTTAAACCATTGAAAGGACAGTAGCAGAACTGTTAGTTTGTTACTATAAATAATTCTTTTATATAATCTCCTCTAAATAAAATGTTGTTTCAACATTACAGGCCTCATCAAGATACTACCCGCAGTTCACTTGCTGCTTCAGGAATAAGACGGCTGTGGCTGTGAGAACTGTTAGTTTGTTACTATAAGTAATTATAAGTTTGTTACTATAAGTAACTGTTAGTTTGTTACTATAAGTAATTCTTTTATATAATCTCCTCTAAATAAAATGTTGTTTCAACATTACAGGCCTCATCAAGATACTACCCGCAGTTCACTTGCTGCTTCAGGAATAAGACGGCTGTGGCTGTGAGAACTGTTAGTTTGTTACTATAAGTAATTATAAGTTTGTTACTATAAGTAACTGTTAGTTTGTTACTATAAGTAATTCTTTTATATAATCTCCTCTAAATAAAATGTTGTTTCAACATTACAGGCCTCATCAAGATACTACCCGCAGTTCACTTGCTGCTTCAGGAATAAGACAGCTGTGGCTGTGAGAGGGTTAACAAAGGACTCTGTTGTCTTGGCAGCCATCTTGACAGGTGCATGACATGCACGGTGGCTCCAGGCTTGCTGCTTTTCTAGTGAAGAAAACTGCTTCCCTATTTAAATTTGGGGGGGAGGTGATTTTTGAAGGGAAAAGGGTGAGGAAAATAAGGTGTCCTTACATCTCCAGGTTTAGAAACTTGTGAATTATCCACAAGACCAGTGTTGTTTTAGTAACAAACTTCTTAATTGTTCTGGCTGTTTGAATTTAATGAATACCATATTATCTCATGACTCTTATGTAATTGGGCAGCTGCTTTGGTGTTTTTTTGTGTTAAAGGAAACACTTATAGTGCTAAGTTAACAATTCTAGAATTTAACCTTTTCTTTATTCCATTAAAAAATGCTTCGAGTCTACAACCCTAACTTAAATACTTTTTTTAAAACATGTAAATAAATACTGGTTTGCTTGGACTGACTTGTCTTGTTTCTCATCCATGCCTTTTTAGTGATGTTAGTTGCAGGGGGAATTTGATTTAAATCACTGGTCAGGATACCTTTGATTAAAACGCTGTTTTCTGCAAGAAGTGCATTCTTGTTGCTTGATATCCTCTATTCATTTAAGTTCTTGAAACAGTGTTTTTAAAGAGAGGTAAGGGCTTGAGTCTATGCACACAAGCATGCAGAGAGACAATAGAGCTGATGGGTAGGTAATCATGTGTATTATCTGTCACTTGCATATACTGCTGTTAACAAGGATATTAACTCTGGAGACACAAATCCATGGTTTGAGAACTGAAACCAGGCATCACAGGGCGTGTTCACACGTGCACTTAAATGCACCTAAATTTAATGCATCTTAGCCTAAGGCACAATAAGGCGATTTTTTTTTTTCCTAAGGTGTACATCTACATGTGGCAGGTGCCTTAACATGGCTTACTGGGCCAGTGTGTTTGCAGCCTGCCTTGGGAAGCACTCTGGACAGCCCCCCCGCACGCACAGCCACACAGAGGCCTGCAGGCAGGTGCCATGCTGGGAAAGTGGCTGGGGGCAGCATGAACAATGAGTGCATTCTTGTCTAGGGAGTGCAGAGAAAGTTGCGGTGTATGCCCAGGGGCCAGAGGGGCTCTCAGTGGCATATGGAGCTGGGCCTCTGGGCTGTAGCCAGAAGTGGCTTGGCTCTGAGTGAGCAGTGGGTGCACCTCAGCCCCCAGTGTCTAGTGACTCAAGGCAGCTGCACCCAGTCCTGGGCCTGGCCTCAGTGTACCAAGCTGCCCACTAGTGCCCCAAAGCCTACAGTGGTGTAGCCAGGCGGTGAAGCCCATCACTGGCCAAGGGGTGTGGGAGCCTCCAGTCCCTCTCCCCCCCCC